TATATATATATATATATATATATATATATATATATATATATATATATATATATATATATATATATATATATATATATATATATATATATATATATATATATATATATCCTGTCCACATTATAAACAACACTTTAACTATGTAATTTTGAGCGTAATGTAATGATATGTACCTTTGTGTAAAGCGTTATACAGATAAGCTTGAGTTGAATTTAATATTGATTTATTTCATGAGGATTTTTCAGTCACTCACCCTCGACTACTCCACTCAGGAAGACCTTGGATTTGTTTGACATGTTTCAGCTCAGATGATCAGTCAGAAGTGAAGTGTGTGTTGTCTGTATCTGCTGAAACTCAGTCGGACACTGTGTGTGTGTGTGTGATAATGTTTATGTTTATAATCTCTCCACTTCCTTATTGTGCGCGTGGTCACAGCGCGGCGCATGCGCCTTCCTGCAGCTGTCATATAAACCCCGCCCGCCTCTCGCCCGGCGTCAAACTCAAACGTCGGCAGTTTCAGGTAACGTTATGACGAGTAAACTGTCGAGAATGTTTGTTAAAACCAACATAGAGATTCAGACCATTAAAATAACATTGTAATTACACGGATTTATGTACAAAAAAGCGTCTAAAATGCTTGCAAATATCAAATTGAAGTGATTTACACTCATTTGTCTCCGTTAGTTCAGTGTATGCTAATCTTCGTCGTTTTACTGCCGAGATTGTTCAACGTAAAACTGAACATTTATGAGGTAAATATGAACACAAGGTGTTTATTCTTTTATTTTAACTAAATGTTTCAAACTTAACACATTTTTTATGGGAATTTGTTAATTATTTTATCCCCTCAGCACATCCCCTCATTTTAGCGGGAAAACGACAGGACTGTCCGTAAGTATGTCACTATTAATAAATTGATGTATTAGGTGAGGTTTTGTGTTGTTTGCTTCAAGTGACACAAATTAGTTTGATATTTGATAGAATATTCAAGTGTCTGTATGTGCTTAAATGATGCAAATGGATTTTTGTACTAGTCAGAACTTTTAAAACATTTTGTTTTCCTCATATCAGACATGTGTGTGTGTGTGTGTGTGTATATGTGTAATACATTGGTTAAACTAAATATACAGTTAAATTCAGAATTGTTAGCCTCCCGTTTATTTTTCCCCCGTTTTCTGTTTAACAGAGAGCAGATTTCCTCAGCACATTTCTAATCATAACAGTTTTAATAACTTATCTTTAATTACTGATTTATTTCATCTTTGTCATGATGACAGTGAATAATATTAGACTAGATATTCTTCAAGACACTTCTGTACAGCTTAAAGTGACATTTAAAGGCTTCACTAGGGTAATTAGGCAAGTCATTGTATAACGATGGTTTGTTCTGTTGTCTACTGAAAAACATAGCTTAAGGGGGCTAATAATATTGATTAAAATAAAAACTGCTTTTATTCATGCCGAAATAAAACAAAAACTATTTCCTGAATCTGTTCAACATCATTTGGGAAATATTTAAAAAGAAGAAAAAAAAGTCCAAAGGGGAGCGAATAATTCTGACTTCAACTATATATATATATATATATATATATATGGGCGAAGCAGTGGCGCAGTAGGTAGTGCTGTCGCCTCACAGCAAGAAGGTCGCTGGTTTGAGCCTTGGCTCAGTTGGCGTTTCTGTGTGGAGTTTGCATGTTCTCCCTGCATTTACGTAGGTTTCCCCCGAGTGGTCCGGTTTCCCCCAGTCCAAACACATGTGGTACAGGTGATTTGGGTAGGTTAAATTGTCCGTAGTGTATGAATGTGTGTGTGGATGTTTCCCAGGGATGGGTTGCGGCTGAAAGGGCATCCGCTGCGTAAAAACTTGCTGGATGAGTCGGCGGTTCATTCCACTGTGGCAACCCCGGGTTCATAAAGGGACTAAGCTGACAAGAAAATGAATGAATATATATATATATATATATTATGCATGATTTTCCGCAGATTTTTAGTCCATCATTAATTCGGTTTATTTACTTGAGTAAATGTGTGTAAATCTATATTCAGTGTTTTACTTAATTACAGTAATATTATTGAGTAATGTGAAAATGTTCATCTGATTTATGTACAATGCAGTTGTACAGTAATATTTTCTGTCTTTTACTAGATATATTATATGACAAACTTGCTTTATTTACCAAATAAAGTGAATCTAATTGGATAAAGATAGTTAAATAAAATATTATTTTTATTTCATATATTAAGGTTTTAGCAGAAATTCACAGACTTTTACTAAAATTCTCGGCAGAAATAGCAGAAAGCGTCCACAGTAGGGGCAGGTAGTGCTGTCACCTAACAGCAAGAAGGTCGCTGGTTGGAGTCCCGGCTGGGTCAGTTGACATTTCTGTGTGGAGTTCGCATGTTCTCCCCATGTTGGCGTGGGGTTTCAGGTGCTACGGTTTCCCCCACAGTCCAAACACATGCGCTATAGGGGAATTGGGTATGCTAAATTGTCCTTATTGAGTGAGTGTGTATGGATGTTTCCCAGAGATGGGTTGCAGCTGAAAGGGCATCCGCTGCATAAAACGTATGCTGGATAAGTTGGCGGTTCATTCTGCTGTGGCAACCCCAGATTATTAAAGGGACTAAGTCGAAAAGAAAATGAATGAATGAATGAATATATCATCCATGGAAAACCAACTTTAATAGGGGAAAACTGTAAATGAAGATATGTCACATTGATTAGTACATAAATCTTTTTATTCAGGTAAAGCAACATCATTACAACTGAAAAAGGATGAAAACATTTTTGGTATCACTCAAAAAAAGCAGGTTATATACAAAAAACAAACCAATTGCCATTTAAACTATGATGACAATTCACTCCTTTAATGCCTTTTCATTTTTATGTACAGAATTATATAAACAAAAGTACTTTAATAGAACCGTCAAGTAAGAAAGAGGTGAAAATGAAGTCAGTTTAGTGAAGTGCAATCAACCCTGCTGAAAAACTACAAGTATGCATTCCTGCTTAAACTCAAGCATGATCCACAGACTCCCAGTATAAGTGCATTTGTGTTTTAATGATCACTGATACTGTCAACAGAGCTGAACTTCTACTTCACCCACAATACTCCTTTAAACCTGCTTAAATTGTACAGTGGGTTTAGTAGCATGTGACCAAGGTAATAATGACGGATGACCAACAAAATACTGAATATATTGGGATAGTTCACCCAAAAATAAACATTTCCTCACCCTCACACGGTTCCAAATCTGACTTTCTGTTGAACACATAATAGGACAAATATCGCCGGTTTCACAAACGAGGTTTAAGGCTAGTCAAGATTAAATTGCATGTTTCAGCTGTCTCAACTCAACATAACTTGCAGTGAGATGCTTAAATATATCAGTGTCTTTTATTTTCTCCAGGTGCACACCAGTAATATATTCTAAGGTTATTTTTATAAATGTGGCTTAATTAGCCTAATTTAACAAAGCCTTAGTCTTGGCTTAATCTAAGCCTTGTTTGTGAAACTGGGCCATTGTATGTTTGAAACTGGTAACCATTGACTTCCATAGTAGGTAAAAACAAATACTATGGTAATCAATGGTTACCGGTTAACAACATTTTTCAAAGCATCTTCTTTTGTGTTCAACAGAATACAAATTTTCAAAGGGGTTTGTGAAGGGTGAATAAATGAATTACTTTTGGGTGAACATCCAAAAACACAGCAGGTGCATCATTCCTGTGATGTTTCAACAAGGTTTACATCAGGGCTCTGAGGTAACGTTAATGTGTCCATCTCCAGCTCTGCTACCTCTTCTGTCCTCTCTGAGCCTGTTTCAGCAGCGTGTCGAAGTCAAAAGACTCCAGTCGGCTCCGGGATGCGGGATCAACGTCCCGGTTGGAATCTAAATGCATAACAGGTAATCAGAAACAAAAGTGCATCATTTTCATTGATCTGGGTCTGTATTTCTAAACAGAAAAATAATTTCACAAAACACGATCCTAAAACAGCTCAAATGTTTTCAGCAATCTGCTTTGGAAAGAAGATCTTTTAAAAATTTTATTGTTATAAGATTAAATTTAATAAGTTATTACCTTAATCATGGAGATATTCCCATATTTAGGTATATATTATAAATATTATATTACAAAAATGGCAAAAAATATTCTCTCAAAAACAAATATATGTAAATATACACATTCTATAAAATACAAACTTGGTTGTTTTTATCTATATTTTTCAACTATTTTAAAAAAAAATTCTTTTAAAGCAATTAATATACATTATATATATACACACACACACACACAATTGAAATCAGAATTATTCACCCGCAGTTTATTTTATTTAGTTAATAACTCATCTCTAATAACTGATTTATTTTCTCTTTGTCATGATGACAGCACATAATATTAGACTAGATATTCTTCAAGACACTAGTGTTCAGCTTAAAGTGACATGTAAAGGCTTCACTGGGTTAATCAGGGTAAAGTTAGGGTAATTAGGCAAGTCATTGTGTAACAGTGGTTTGTTCTGGAGACAATCGAAAAAAAATATAGCCTAAAGAGGCTAATAATATTGACCTTACAATGGTGATTAAAAAATAAAAAACTGCTTTTTATTCTAGCTGAAATAAAACAAATAAGACTTTCTCCAGAAGAACAAATATTATCAGACATACCGTGAACATTTACTGAATCTGTTCAACATCCTCTGGGAAATATATATTTTTTTAAAAATTAAAAGGGGGGCAAACAATTTTGACTTCAACTGTGTGTGTGTGAGATAAAGAGTTCAGATGCAAAAACCTCTAAGTGCCATCTAAAAGATTCTTATAAAATTTCATTTTCAAGTTTTTATTTTCATTTCCAAAAAAAAAACATTTTAGATAAGATTTGTTTTATTTTGATTGCAAAGGATAGCTTGTTTTTATTGCCTATAACATGAAATAACAGAACATAAACCATTGAGGCTAAGAAAAATGCACATCATTTTACAAGAAAATTTTAGGCAGCACTTTTTTTTGTTTTTGCATATGAATTCTTCATATATACACAATTGAAGTCAAAATTATTGCTGTGCTGAAGAAATCTGCTCTATGTTACACAGAAATTGGGGGGGGGGGAAACTAAAAACTCTCTCTCTCTCTATATATATAAAATTTGCATACTTGTTTTTTTATTCTAGAACACAATCTTTCGTTTAGGCTAAATGTTAACATTTTTATTACAAAGTTGCAATTTTTGTATTTTGAAACTGTTAAAGTCAGTCTCAGCAACTTTTATGAAAACTCTGAGCTCTGAAACCGCTATTTAGGAGAAATCTTAAGTGCTAAGATCAAATGTTTTGTAAATACAGGCTCTGGAGGGGCCCAAATTATGTCATTATATTTAAATATGAAACACTGTGAATCAATAACAAAATTTAAAACTGATGACATCATTATAATACAAAACAATAAACAGTTTTATTAATCACGATTACTAAAACACATTACAACAATTAATGACATAATTCTACATTTCACTGCAAGATTAAAAATGTAATTGCTTGTGCACCTTTAACAGAGAACCAATAATACCTTTCTTATATTATACTTCATATTAGCCTAAAAATTCATCACCACAGAATAATAAAGTCAATCAGGAGACCAACCTAAATCTGCATAGTTGGATTTACAGAACTGTCGTCTGCCGCCGAAGCAGATGTCGAAGGGCAGCTCGTCTGGACGCCTCAGTTTCCCGCCGTTCTCAATAGCAGCGTAAGCGTCGTCAGTGTTGTAATACGTGACAAAACCATAGTTGTCTCTAGAAGAAGATAAAGGAAAACACACAATGTTAATTCCAGTATAATTTGAGCACATGGCTAGTTTTCTGAATCGCTGGTTGATTTTTGTTACCCGTGACTCCTGAGATGAACTGTACAATCCTCAACCTTCCCGAACAGTGAGAATCGATCTTTGAGGTCTGAAGGTGCCATACTTTCCCTGATTCCTCCCACATACACCACTCTACGCTCCTCCTGAGGGGCAAACACAACTTGATTATGGCAAATGTTAAATACTGCACATTCAGGAGCACATTGAGAGCACGACGACGGGTTGTTGAATTCAATATAAAAGAAATAAACACTTGAGGTAATGATGTGGTGCATTATTCTCTAATAATTCAACAGCCAGGAGTGATATATTGAGCTTGACGAGGGGCTGTAGAATTGTTAAAGAATAATGCACATCTGAGGTGGTGATATGGAGCAGTATTTTTTCAATCATTCAATGTTTAGGAGTGAATTATTGGGCTTGACGACAGGCTGTTAAATTATTAGGAAGTGCTGCACGACTGAGGTGGTGATATTGTGCATTATTGTCTAATAATTCAATAATGAGAAGTGAATTACTGTGCTGTAGTGTTCTGATGTGATTTCTAGCTCATTCAGCGGAGTGATATGGAGCTGTAATGCGCTTTAAACCTGCCGGAACTACTTTAGCTGTGCGTTTATTTGATAATAACCAAACACCATAGAATGAGCCAATCAGAATAAAGCATTCACACATTTTAACATGGTATAATGAACAATCGTTTGTACACCTACTATTGCTTTCTGCTGCCGGAGTTTTCGAGCCTCTTCATGTCGTCGGTTCAGCTCCTTCTGCCTACGACTAAAACAACATCTGATTTAGATTCACAACATAAGGGGATTCTCACACACACACACACACACACACACATGTTAATATTGTGTTTACACTCACCTCTGCCATCTGCAATCCGGCTCAGGTGAGCGAGAACCAGAACGCGATCGGCACAAGGATCTGGATCTGTTTTGTGATCTGGATCTGCGGTGTCCACACTGGCGAACCGGAGATCGAGAAGACGATCTTGAACTCGAACGCGAGGACGAACTGCTTCCAGAATGCCTGGACCTGTACCTTAAAACCACAGTCAAAATAAGACAACACTTACAAATGCAAACAGAATCATCTAAATGAAATATTTTAATAAACAAAATCTAATGTACTCCATTGGTTTGCCATAAACTGTGTGCGTCTATGATAACATATATATTCAATAATTTTTATTATTAGTTTATAATTATCTTGTGTTTAATAAGCATATTTTAATACATGTCTATCTTTTAATATACATTTAATCCACTCAGGTTCAGAGAAATAAATATTTTTAATAATAATAAATTCAGATGATTAAATATTTGTGTTTAATGGACTTATTTTAGTAATTGTCAATAATAATTGTAATAAAAATGAACTATTTTGTAATAAAAATCTTGTGTATAAAAATTTATTTTTTATTAATAAATTTTTTTATTAATTAAATATTTTTTCTAAAATTAAATATTGTGTTAAACGAACTTATTTTAGTAATTGTAAAACTTTTAGTATAAAAACTTCTAACTTTAAAAAGTATTTTAGAACAGAAATACAGCATACTACGAATTAAAGTCTTATCAATTTGATCGCATCATTATTTAAATTACAGTATTTTATAATTCTGCAATTGCCTCTCTGAATATCACACTAACTGTACCCAAAAAGAAAAAAAAAATACTAATACTACTAATACTTCCCTTCTTAGACTTTACACACCTGAAACTTGCCTATAGCACTTATTCATTGTTGCTCTTAGTTGTGTAAATTGCTTCCTTGTCCTCATTTGTAAGTTGCTTTGGATAAAAGCGTCTGCTAAATGACTAAATGTAATAGCATTTAATTATTTTAACATTTTATTTTACCTTTTTGTGGGTGGAGAGCGAGACCTGGAACGAGACGACGATGATGAAGACGACGATGAAGAGCATGATGAGCATGATGATCCGGAGCTGGACCTGGAGTGTCGGTATCTGCCTTCATATCTCCGCCTCTTCAGTCTTCCACGGTCCAATGGGCTCGGAGAGTGGGTAGAAAAGCACAAGCCCCGCCCCCTGAGAGACTCCACCTCCTCGAATGTCTCCATCCTGCAGGGGGAGCTGTCCGGAGAGAGCAGCACTGATGCCGGCAGACGCGGACTCTCCGATAACGTCCTGTAATTGCACGAAGGTGAGTTTATTTGTGCCTGCATCCCGCAGTAATCGTGATCCAGGAACGCTTGAGGAGGGTTTATCGCAGGAGTAACGGTGGCCAGTGGAGGTTTAGATTGAGTTTTACTGGGTGGCAGAGGCCGGGGTTCAATAATCTGAATGGTTTTGCTGGATGAAGGTTTAATGGGGTCATGTTTGGTCCCTTTTGGCCTCCAGATCTGATGTGGAGGAGTTGCAGGAGGAGTCAGACCTGGAAGATAGATAATAATAATCACAAAACTAGTCAAAAACTAAGCACTGCTGCTAACTTAACGCACAGTAGAAGTCAGAATTATTAGCAACCCTAAATATTTTCCCCCTAATTTCTGGTTAATGGAGAGAAGATTTTATTCCAACACACGTCTAATCATAATAGTTTTAATGACTCTTTTCTAATAATCTAATATTTTCTCTGTCATGATGACAGCACATAATATTAGACTAGATATCCTAGTGTTCAGCTTAAAGTGACATGTAAAGGCTTCACTAGGGTAATTAGGGTAAAGTTAGGGTAATTAGGCAAGTCATTGTATAACAGTGGTTTGTTCTGGAGACAATCCAACACTAATATTGCTGAAGGAGCCAATATTTACCTTAAAATAGGTATAAAACTATTAAAAACTGTTTTTAATCTAGCGAAAATAAAACAAATCAGACTTTCTCCAGAAGAGCAAATATTAGAGGAAATACTGTGAACAACTCCTGAATCTGTTCAACATCATTTGGGAAATATTTAAAAAAGAAAATTCACAGGAGGGCGAATAATTTTAACTTCAACTGTATGTATATACAGGAATCAGAGTGAAATTAAATACCTTTTAAGACCTTTTTAAGAATCTTTCCATACACTTTAACATTTACATTTAGTTATTTAGCAGACGCTTATATCCAAAGCGACTTACAAATGAGGACAAGGAAGCAACTTACACAACTATAAGAGCAACAGTGAATAAGTGCTGTAGGCAAGTTTCAGGTGTGTAAAGTCTAAGAAGCAAAACATTAGTAATTTTAATATTTTTATATATTTTCATTTTGGTAAAAACGTAGGGAGCAAGAAGGTCGCTGGGTCGATCCTCGGCTCAGTTGGCGTTTCTGTGTGGAGTTTGCATGTTCTCCCTGCATTCGCATGGGTTTCCTCCGGGTGCTCCGGTTTCTCCCACAGTTCAAACACATGCGGTACAGGTGACTTGGGTAGGCTAAATTGCCTGTAGTGTATAAGTGTGTGGATGTTTCCCAGAGATGGGTTGCAGCTGGAAGGGCATCCTCTGCTTAATAATGTGCTGGATAAGTTGGCGGTTCATTCCGCTGTGGCGACCCCGAATTAATAAAAGAACTAAGCCGACAAGAAAATGAATGAATGAATAAAAATGTAGGAGAAACTCCTTCCTCTCACAGAAAAAAAGAAACGAAAATAATAACTCGACAAAATGAAGAGAGGAAACTAAAACCTAAAAAACTATTCCGGACCTATTTTCCTTGATTATAAACAGAAAGCAAAGATAAAATATACATGTTTATATGTTTTTATTGATTTACGTTTACTGCTGTACGTTTTGCATATTTGTGTTTATGTATTTTCTGTAATGCTGTACAGCCTGATATGTGTTAGTTATAATAATAATGTTATTTTATGCTTCTTATTATTATATATTTCTTATTTGTGTTTTGCCCTGAATGTTGTTTTTGATGAAAGAATGTATAATTAAATCGTTTGTTTCAGAGAGGAAGACGATGTGAAATAATGTAGTTTTCTGCTGATGGATTGGAACAACTGATTCTTTATATTTGATAACTCTCCAACTGATGCGCATCAATGCAACTTAAACTTAGGAGAACTTGGATAAAAAGATTTGTGCAGTAACTGTGCTGAATCTGACCTGCAGTGCTGCTGAGGTCCGGCAGACGACACTGAGACTCATCCGCAGAAACCTCTGGAAGCGTCTGAGTATCACAAGCTGCGGAGAAACAACACGGTTAGACTGAGAATCCATCATCAGCTGTGTTTCCATCCACATTTTTATGTGCATTTTGGATTTTATTGAATTAAAACTGCCTAATGAAAATGCCAAGATGTGCAGAAATGCTGAAACACAGCCATTAACTCAACTACAGACACTCATATATCAGTTAGTGGAGATGTTGACTCCTCCAACATCACTGAACACTCAGATTCTCCTTCATGAGCTGTTTTCCTGAAGCCATTACAGAAGTGCAGTTTGATTATGATTGTGTCTGTGAGAGCTTAATGAGCGCTTTAATGATTCTGCTTTAATAACACCGGGGCCGCGTCTGTCTCTGGGTGCATTAAATCTGACAATATCGTGTGCAAGGAGACAATCCAGAGTGGAAAATCAAGTCAATCTAAAGTGAAAGTTGTAATGAAAACGACCCAGAGCTGATAACACAAAGTTATAATCGTTCCTCTTATCTGAACTGATGCAAAATGAGCTGATTGTGTCGATTTAATTACGCCCAACCATAAACAGATATGCATTTATTATGTTATTTCATTATATACCTTGAGTCTCGAACTGCTCCAGAAGACTGGTCAGATCTGAAGCTTCAATTCCTGCGAAAACCACACAAAACACGCACGTTATGATGGCTCAAATGATACTCGTTTATAAATATGCTGAAAACTAAATATATAAATGAAGGTACAACAGAAAAATGAATATAAAAAGTATGAATTAAGTACATTATTAATTATGAAGTCAAAGTTTTTGTAGTTCTGTTGTCTTTTCTCTTTTCATTTCTTGTTTGTATAATAGTTTTTAGAAATTATTTACTTTTCTTGTTCACATTTTAGACATCAGTCAGAAATCAGGTTCTAGTTTGTTTATTTGTTTAGTTTAGCTATGTTGTGTGTTTATTATTATTGCTTATTAAAATTGTTTAATTCATTTTAGTACATCAAACGTAACTTCAAGATAATATTTATTATGATTTCAGTTTCTAATTAAAGTAATTTACACCTAAAAATGTAATTTAATTTAATGAAACTTATTAGCTGGTGGCTGATAAATTACCAGCTAGTTTGTCCTACTTTGTGTAATGCATATGCATATATTTAACATGTCTAATTCAATTAGATGTAGTGTTCAGCATATATGAGCACATCCCTCAAAAATGTCTCATTTAAATTAATATTTCCTATAGGAAGCTCTACAATATTATATTTGTGCATATATGTTCAATTAGTCAGTACTGAAGCCAAATCTGAGCTCATCAAACAAAATAACTTACGACAACAGAGCACTGCTCGCTGCAGACCCACTTGGGCTCCAATGAGGGGGAGCTTGAGCTCCAACTCCTCCTCCTATAAGCTGTTTTTTTAGCTGAGTACACCTAACCCACCCCTAACCCCAACCCCCAGTGACATCACTTGTAGAAGAAGTGCAAGGAAGGAGGAGCTGGAGCTCAGCTCTGCCCGAGTGTCTCTGCAGTGAATATCACTAGCAAATAGTGGTGCACCCAAATTTATATGTTAGGAAAAATATTAAACAATTTTTTTAAAAGAGCAAAAATAAGAAGAAATAAAAATATAAATAACATGTTGTTGAAAATGTGCATTTTAATTATTTTTCAACAATGTTTTGCATTAATTTAAATTTATTATCTTTCTATTTCTAAAAAATTTTGGTGACTAAAATATTATTTTAATAAATATATCTGTTTAATAAATCTGTTTTGTTCAAATGCACCAAAATATATTAACTATATTCAATTATGCCGAGCACTGAGTGTTTATTTAACTCTATTAGCTTACTGCTACTGTTTCATTTCCATGTGCATGAATAAGCGTTATTAAAACACACTGTATGTCTCATTTTATTTCGCTTTTGAGCCATATGTAGAAATCAACACCTATTTAATTGCTCTGAGAGTGTGTTTTCAACATGTACGGTGTGTATGTTATGTTTAATCAGCTGGTTTTGACTAAATATATTCTCACTTTGGCCAGAAATATGCTATGACCCATTATAGAGTTTGTACCATCTATAATTTGTGTTATTGATATTAAGATTCAGGAGCGACATGATGCCTCAGTGGTTAGCACTGTGGCCTCACAGCAAGAAGGTCACTGGTTTGAGTCCCAGCTGGGTCAGTTGGTGTTTCTGTGTGGAGTTTGCATGTGCTCCCAGTGTTGGTGTGGTTTTTCTCCGGGTGCTCCGGTTTCCCCACACAGTCCAAACACATGCGCTATAGGGGAACTGATCAACTAAACTGGCTGTAGTGTATGGGTGTTTCCCAGTACTGGGTTACAGCTGGAAGGGCTTTCGCTGTGTAAAACATGCTGGAATAGTTGGCGGTTCATTCTGCTGTGGTGACCCCTGTTGAAGGACTAAGTGGCAGGAGAATGAAATGATATTGAGATTCAGTGTAATCTGCTTCTCCACTATTTAAACAGCAGATCTCATCCTCTTATTTCACATCCTTCCAGTGGCTCAAGTGTTATTTATCCCAAACCCTCTCTAATTGACCCTGCATTATGTACACGTTATATCTTCTGTAGATCGATAATACAGACGGTCTGCTCACCGATTTCTCCACACGAGTTCTGCGTCTGCTCTTCTGTGACGGCGTCAGGCTTCAGTACTGGTAATTCTGATTTCGCAGCTGAAGATTTGGGTTCGATGCTCACCTGTGTGACCTCAGAGAGCCCGACCTCGGGTTTTAAATTCTGCACTTCTGCTGGAGTTTGGGTTGCATCTCTGTCCTCAATCTGCTCATCAGTGATCTTCAGCGGCACTAAAACTGGGTTTGGAGGATCCACACAATGATCTACTTGCGTTCTGGCTGGACGTCTGACATGCTTTGGCTCGGACTGACACGTCTGCACATTTGCTGCTTTTAATTTCTTGGCAGAATGAGCGTTTCCACTCGGTTTCGGGTTGAATTTAAACAAATCTGGAAGTTCCCTGGGAACGTCGGGAAGCGAAGGCCATTTGGTCCGATAGTCCATCCGCCTCTGCTCCATCGGCCGCTTCTTCAGCCTGAGGAGACGATACTCCTGCAGACTGAGCATTTTGGGCTTCTTAGGGGAAGTGATGTCATTTTTAGAAGAGGTGATGTCACTTTTAAAAGCAGTGATGTCATTAGTAGAACACGTTGCATCATTTTTAGAAGCATCATCCTCTAAAGCAGGTGATTCTGCTTTATCAGAGTCAGACTCGTCATTATAAGCTGGAATCTCATACACGGAGGTTAAATTAAGTGCAAAGGTCACCGTCTTCTTCTTCTTCTTGATCTGTGCTACATTGGTTTTGACTAAAGCGCTGTGTTGTATCGTCAACTCAACATTTAGATCTGAAGACATGATGCTTTCTTCTCCGTGGCTCTTTATACTCGTGTTTCGTGCGTTTGGGTCTTTGTGTTCATGCTGATCCTCAGCTTTAAAAGACGATGCATTTTCTGCTTTGGACTCTTTCCCGAGCTCTGATTGGTCTAGCATGTTCTCCTCCGGTTCCTCGTAAGCCTCCACATCCACAAACTCCTCCTCGTCGTCCTCTGTAGACGCGCTGGAGATCTTCATGCAGTACGGGTGCATGTGTCTCACTAATTCTGCAAGCAGCTCCAGTCTGTCCTCTGTGAACACAGCATCGGATTCGATCCGGAAGATTCTCGTAGAATGACTTTTCGTATTTTTCTCATGGTCGTCTCGCTGTGAAATCTCAATCTGGGATCCTGAATGGCGACGGGGCCTCAGCTGTCTGTCTGATATCACAACCTCCTGATGGAGAGGAACACAGAATAATACTGTTCATTCATGATTATTCTACAGCGGTTTATTATGATATTATGAACAACAGTTATACCTGCCTTGATATAAACTACATACAGTTTAGACAAAATGATTCACACTCCTGTAAATGTTTTACTACTTCTAGAAAAATTATCCAAGTCATGTTTAACGGAGATAGTCTTTGCCATGATGCTAGTGGAACTTAAACTCTGAAAACTGAACTGACACTGTTTCAGTTTACTATCATCTTCCATGTTAAGCTGCTTTGACATTTTAAAAGCGCAATAGAAATAAAGGTGAATTTAATTATTTTACTAGATACTAGTAATCATCTTAAAGTGACTTAACTAGGTTAATTAGGAAAGTTATTGGTTGTTTTAATAGTTGTTTGTTGAGTAGACAATGAAAAAAAATGCTTATGAGGTCTAATGATATTGACCTAATGAATCTTGTATTCCAGCCAACTTAAATGAATCAAAACTTTCTCCAGACGGGAAAATTAAATTAAAAATATTGTGAAAATGTCCTGCTCTGTTAAACACCACTTGGGTGATATTATAAAAATAATAATATAAAAAATAAATATAATATAAAAAAAATTAACAAACAATTTAGCCTCAACTGTATCCAGCTTAACTCCTTGTTCAAGCTCTTGTTCTCTCCAGACTGGATTACTGCAACTCTCTACTAGCCGGGCTTCCAGCTAACTCTATCAAGCCTCTTCAGCTGCTCCAGAACGCAGCAGCACGAGTGGTCTTTAATGAACCTAAAAGAGCCCATGTCACTCCGCTGCTCATCCGTTTGCACTGACTGCCAGTTGCTGCTCGCATCAAATTCAAAGCTCTGATGTTTGCTTACAAAGTGACTTCTGGCTTTGCTCCTTCTTATCTGCTCTCACTTCTGCAGATGTATGTGTCCTCCAGAAACTTGCGTTCTGTGAATGAACGTCACCTCGTGGTTACATCCCAAAGAGGGAAGAAATCACTTTCCCGAACTCTCGCGCTCAATCTGCCCAGTTGGTGGAATGAACTCCCTAACTGCATCAGAACAGCAGAGTCACTCGCTGTCTTCAAGAAACCACTAAAAACTCAACTATTTAGTCTCCACTTCCCTTCCTAATCTGCAATTGCCTCTCTGACTCCACCGCAAACTACAAAAAATAAAAAAATAATAAATGACTATTGTTCTGCTTCTTACACTTTACACACCTGAAACTCGCCTATAGCACTTATTCACTGTTGCTCTTAGTTGTGTAAGTTGCTTCCTTGTCCTCATTTGTAAGTTGCTTTGGATAAAAGCATCTGCTAAATGACTAAATGTAAATGATCTGTTGCCCTCTACATACAACACAAACCAATAGAAGATACACACACACACAGAGAGAGAACAGCTCAAGTCACACACACATCTATGTTCAGTTCTTCCGTCATGATATCTGGGTGTGCCAGGAACTCGCCCGGTGAGTAACTGTACATCATAACTGGATAAAGGAAAAGGAAACGTACTCTTCTGGACTTTGAAGCGGCTGATTGTGGGTTTTTTGGGTGTTGATTTGATGACGGCTCTGGAGCATGAAGCAGATTCCTGAGCTGTGATGGGGGGAAAAAAGAAGTATAAATCAACATATGAGAACATTTACCACATAACCAGTCATCAATGTCTATTTGTGGATGTTGGTTTATAGATCACAGTAAAGCAGAATTCATATTTTTTACAATAATATATGAGTTGCTGTCACAGGATAATATGTGGCAGAGATTAGACCTGCAAAATGATCATTATCTTGATAATAGTATATGCAATATATAAAAAAAGTTTGATAAATTACATTAACTTTATCATTTTGACCAATCAGATGGGGCAATACTATCTTTGTGTATGTATACACACACTAAAGTTGTCACAATAGTGGAATTCAGTACCAATCGATACCAATGAAAGTTTAAGAATGTCCATTTCCGCTAACATGCGAGCGCTGTTGAGTGTGTTCTTAAACAGCTCTGATTTGCCATTGTGTTCATATGCTCAACAGAAATGACTGTGATTGGCCGTGAAGATCATCAGTTAATCAAACTCACCGCTGTTTACCGAGTGTAAATACAGATACACACACTTTCAGAGTCACGTCTATAAGCTGACATACGAGCGATCCTCTAATGAACCGCGGCTTTAAAACGCTCCAGTGTCTGTATCTGTGTTCACAAAGTCATAACAGAGTGTGTGTTAGTCCCTCACCGTGTGGCCTGAACTCTTGTGCGCAGCGAATATCTCGGCGTCCGGCAGCGTGTCGAACGGAGACAGCGACTCCACATCCACACTGTCCAGGATCTCAGTCAGCGCGCACAGCAGAGACGCCTCGCTCTCCACACTCTCCGTACTCGTCTTCTCCTGGAAGATGGACAGAATGGAGGGATCCAGACTGCCATGGAGAGCATCAGAGATCTTCACCACGTCCAGATCAAAGAGGTCATGCTTTCCAAAATCCACCTGCCGGTAAAAGCAGACACGCAAGACACTGTCAGATCCAATCTCCATAATAACTCCATCTTACAGTCGGGTCAAAGCAGTAAAGGCATAATGATAAGGAATTACAACAGTCCTGCAGTTATACAAGAACTTATATGACATATCCTGTAAAATGCAGTATTCGGATTATATTTAAGAGGATGACCTCAGAGTTAAACACCCTAAGGTTATAGTTTACCCAAAGATTAGCATTTCCCTGATCATTTACTGGGTTATAAACGTTTATAAGCATGTAAATTAGCACAGAATTTTAATTTTTGGTTGAACTGGCCCTCAAAAAGTGCTAAATTTCTCCATATTGTTAATTTAAACTCTTAGAAAATGTCTAAGTCTTTCAATATTATAGCCAAAATAACAATTACTACTATATATACTTACATGATGAAAGCTTTTCATATTTAAGGTAGTAGCAATGAAAGAATGATTAAATATACGCGTGTGTGCATATATTATGTATTATGTGTGTGTGTGTATGTGTGTGTGTGTATATATATATATATATATATATATGTATATATACACACACATATATATATATATATATATATATATATATATATACATACATACATGTATATACATATACATACACATACAATTGCGTTATATTACAGTAGTTTTATATGAATTATGTGAATTTTAAGCACATAAAAACTTCATTTACAAACTTTCAGTAGCGCTATATGTAGTGTGTAGATCTCAACTGGGTATTCTTGAACAAGTTCACACAAAATAAACTAAGCAGAACTCTTAATCTGAGTTACTTTATTTCATTTGTTAATTTTAATGAGTGTAGACATGTGGATGTGAACACATGAATGGCTGTTCATTCATTCATTCAGTGTTGATGATTCAGACAGACAGGTGTGTGTCAGACACGTCATCAAGGACATCTCTCTCACACACACACACACACCAGCGTTATATTTCTCACACACAGCAGATAATCCCCTTCACAGGCCTAATGAACTCATAATAATCCAGACTTTCGTTCATTTATATATGATCATCAGCAGAGTCAGATCACGTGACAGCAAAACGCCGCTATTTTAAAGCCGTTTCATTATAATTTAGCACATATCCTCTCAAAAACACATCCAATAGCGACATAACTCAACATTATTGGTTTAAAATGCAGTTTATTTTCGACAGTTTATAATAGTCCGTCAAGTTCCAGCATGTGGCCGTGTAAATGCCGGCGTGCGATCATTCATACGACATTAAACCTCATACGTGCTGTTCATTAACGCCACTCGAACACTTTGACGACACTGACCGATAAACCCCAGCAGCTTTGATTAACAACTCAATTAAACAGCGCGTTTCTCGTCGTTTTAACCGCGTGTGTAAGTTCACATCCGTCTCGAGCACGCGTTCATGTCCACGTGTTCACATGCTGAGCGTCTTTTCTACACATGATCAGCAATAAAACATCTTCATATCGACATCTGCGGATGCATAACAGAAACACATATAAGACCTGAGCGTCCTGTGGAGGCTGTGCCGCTGTGGTGTCCGTAAAATCACACTTTAAATCCTTCAGTTTTACGCCATGCGGCGCCGCCATTTTGATTTGGAAAAAGAGAGTTGCACACGAGGCGCCCGGAGGGTCACGTGGCGCGGAGGTTCCCGGGAAAATGACAGCACAAAAAAAACGGCCTTCGCTGCAGTTGCCAGGCAACAGCCTTCTACCGCCAAAACGCTTCACCTCAGATGGAGGAGTTTGACTATTATATTAAACGCGGTGATTGTTTTTTTACTTTATTATACATATTTGATAGATTTTTTACGTATTTAATCAGGATGACGGAAGACAGTGGCATCTAGTGGTCGGATTGGTCAGGTATTTCTTTATTTTTATTAACTTGTCAAATATCATAACATTTCCAGCGTTACAGATGTGACATTTGCCGTAAAATCTCAAAACATGCATTCACCGAAAGTATATGGTAATATTATTTTAAAACATCTGTTTATATTTTTTAAAACATCTCACCACAGTATGGCATTAGAAAAATATCAGTCTCTAAACATTTTTTATATTTTAAATGAGGAAAATAGACATGCGTAATGGATGTGATCAAAAAGTTTGAGGTTACAGTACACAACATACTATGTAAAAATTCTGTGAATTAAACTGAATTAATGTTACAACTTCTGAAAAAAAAACACTCAATAGAGTGGAGGAACTACGACGTCACTTTGTAGGCTAATCGGCAGCTAGCATAAAACTGGTTCCCTTGATGAAATTCCTATAGGATTTTCCCATAGGTTTTTCGAAGATTGCGAATAACATGCTCTGTGTTCAAACACTGTTCACTACACTTACACATTTTGTCCAGCCGGATAATCCTCACACGAAAATACAACTTTAACACTTTTAGATCTTAAATGCAAACGCAAGAACTGAAAAGCTAACAGGCTATAAACTGACTACAGCACCTTCAGGGTGCTCGCCTGTGACGTCAGCACCGCCCTGCTACAGACGACTTTACAAGCTTATTTTTACAAACATGGTGTTCGACAAAGATTTACTCTCTGGGTTTATTATATTATAATCCATGCTACATAATAAAACAAACACGCAAAAACACATAGACCTATATAGACCTATGTGCGTGTTGGAAAGTTTTTACATGGGAAATTCAGTTTGTTTTGCTTTACGGTTTACAAAATTTATTTGTCTTACAATATTAACACACAATATTAACTCCTAATTACAAAAAATACTATAAACTGAAAATTAATATTTATGACAATACTTAAATCACAGACTAATCCAAATGCCCAACGCAAGCGGGCTGCGCTCCAGACCAGATCAGCTCGATGACGTATAATGTCTCCGACACCACCTGTAGTCCCATTTAGCAACTTGATAGCAGCCGTCTTTTAAAAGAAGCATAATCGATTTAAAAATTCAAGAGTGTGCTGTAGCTGATGTGTTTTATGTCGTAGAGTAAAACGTGAAAGTATCTTGAGTTTGTGTTAGCCATGAACGCATACAAATTTTTGCATACAAATTGACGTCATAGCTCCTCCACTCTATTACAGTAATCTGAATATTTGTGATTTGTTACCTTACACCACTGATTTTTGTCTCAATTCTTTGGCATTAAGTTTAAGCACTATTGTTCACTTAAAATGCTTCACTAAAAACTAAATAATTACTTAAGTCTAGTGTAATTATAATTGAGTACCCATTTTTGACGCAAGACACTGCAGGTGAATGGGGTAAAAAAACAAAACAAAAAAGCCAGTCACCACTCTATACTAGTCTATTAAATACAAAGTGTATTCTAAGATGTTATGTTGAATCAACTTTATCCAATTAAATGATGAAAATAAACTAATTAAGTGTTGAGAATAAAGTTGTTGTGTTTTGAGAGCTGTTAAATTGAGAAAAAAAGTCTCCTAAATCCTTAAATTAAAAAAATTATGTTTCAACAAAAAAATTATTAATAATCTTTATAAATTGTTGCGAATGAACAGTTAATTAAATTCCAAGAACAAAGGCGTCATTTTGGCTATAAAATAAAATATATTTTTGTTACTTTATTTAAAACTTCAGAGAAAATCATTAAGAATAAATAAATAAATGTAAACTATTGGACGGTTTCCCCCACAGTCCAAACACATGCGCTATAGGGGAACTGATCAACTAACTGGCCGTACTTTATGAGTGTGTATGGGTGTTTTCCAGTGCTGGGATGCAGCTGAAAGGGGATCTGTTGTTTAAAAAACATATGCCAGATGAGTTGGCAGTTCATTCCGCTGTGGTGACCCCAGATTAATAAAGGGACTAAGCTGAAAAGAAAATGAATGAATGAACAGTGAAATAGGAGAATAAAATAAGAGCGTAATATTACACAGCCAGAGAATCCCAGGATCAGTGGTGTGTGTGTATGTGTGTGTTTTCTAGCAGAGTCAGCAGAGTGTTGTGTGTGTGTGTGTGTTTGTTGAATCAGGGCCAGTGTGTGTTGTGAAGCAGAAGGAGCTCGTGAAAGTGGGTCACCTTCCGGATCTGTGCAGAAAGATGTGTGTTATTTGGACACAAACACACACACACACACACACACAGGTCACACAGATTCTTCTGCTGGTGATTTTCCTGCATTTCTGTCCCGCTTCAGCCTTGTGTTCAGGATCAGCGGCTGCTCAGAGTTTGGCAGAAAACACCAAGAAATAAGAGAAAAGAAAACACACACACACACACACAAGCACACACACACAAGCACACAGGCACACACGATACAAAGACAAACATCAAACACATACAGACACACACACAGAGTGTATTCAGCATGTTAGTTGATATGTGTGTGCGTGTGTGTGTGTGTGTGTGTGTGTGTGTGTGCGTTTTAAGTCCACACAGACCATCATCCGTCACCATGGAGCACCCCTGACCTTTAACCTGACACCATGAGCTGCTGCCAGCGGGACGCATCCGATACACTGATCCCAGAACAGCCTGAGAGAGAGACACTGTAAAGAGCTAAGCAGGAGGAACGTGTGTGTGTGTGTGTGTGTGAACACATACACTCACACACTCTCTCACACATTTACACACACACTCACAAATACAAACACACACTCCTACACACTCACCCACTAACTAAAATACACACTCACACATACACATGTACAAACTCATACATACACAAACACATACGCACGCACACAAACACACACTCATTCACTCAAATACACACTTACATATACACAGAGGAACACACTCACACACACACACTAGCTCACTCACTCAAATACACATACACAAACTCATACACACACACACATACTCAAATACACACTCACATATACACAGAGGCTCACACTCACTCCCACACATACACACAAACTCACACACACAAACTCACATATACACAGAGGCTCACACTCACTCCCACACACACACACACACACACACACACACACTCACTCACTCACTCACGCACTCAAATACACATACACACAAACTCATACACACACAGAGGCCGAGGCCCACACTCACTCTCACACATACACAAACTCATACACACACGCACACACTCACTCAAATACACACACACACAGACACACTCTCACTCACTCCCACACACTCACACAGTCAAACGCGAGCACACAAACACACACACATACGCAGAGACACACTCACAAACTGACATACAAACATACTCCGACACACAGTCACACACACAAACACTCACTCCCACACAGTCACACACATACTCACACACACACACATTCACACTCACTCCCACACACTCACACAAAGTCAAACGCGAGCACACAAACACACACACATACACAGAATCATACACACTCACACATACGCAGAGACACACTCACAAACTGACATACAAACATACTCCGACACACAGTCGCGCACACACACACACAAACACTCACTCACTCCCACACAGTCACACACATACTCACACACACACACATTCACACTCACTCCCACCCACAGACACTTTCACGCACATACATACACACTCACTCACATACACACTGTCACACACATACTCACAAACACACATTCACTCACTCACTCACCCACATACACACCGTCTCACACTCCCTCCCACAGACACTTTCACACACTCACTCACATACTCATATGTGCACAAACATACACACGCACTCACACACACACACACACACACACACATGCACCTACTCAGTGACAATCTGAAAATAATCATCCCCATTTTTCAAACAGTCCATCATGTCTTATTCATTTTCCATCGGCTCCTTTATTAATCAGGGGTCACCACAGTGGAGTGAACCGCCAACTATTCCAGTATATGATATACACAGTAGATGCCCTTCCAGCCCAGTTTAGTTGATCAGTTCCCCTATAGCGCATGTGTTTGGACTGTGGGGGAAACCGGAGCACCCGGAGGAAACCCACACCAACACAGGGGAGAACATGCAAACTCCACACAGAAACACACACTGACCCAGCAGATGCTCGAACCAGCGACCTTACTGTGAGGCGACAGCACTTAGCCACTGCGTCGCCCCTTTTTTACTCAATGTAAGAGATTTAACAGATACATCAATTGTAACTAGATATTAAAGTTTGAGGACAAACTTTATGGTGGCTTGAAAAGCCGAATCTGAAAGTTTGAAGTGGTTGAATTAGCATGTTACTAGCATGATTCTAGCATGAATTAGCATGCTACTAGGATAATTCTAGCATGAATTAGCATGTTAGTAGCATGATTCTTACATGAATTAGCATGTTGTTAGCATGATTCTAGCATGAATTAGCATGTTACTAGCATGATTCTAGCATGAATTAGCATGTTGTTAGCATAAATCTAGCATAAATTAGCATGTTACTAGCATGATTCTAGCATGAATTAGCATGTTGTTAGCATGATTCTAGCATGAATTAGCATTTTACTAGGCGGTTGCTAGGGTGTTTTAAGTGGTTGCTAGGTGGTTGCTAAGGTGGTGCAAGGCAGTTGCTAAGGTGGTCTGACTAGTTGCTAGGTGGTTGCTAGGGTGTTGCTAGACGGTTGCTAGGGTGTTTTGAGTGGTTGCTAAGTGGTTGCTAAGGTGGTGCTAGGCAGTTGCTAAGGTGTTCTGACTAGTTGCTAAG